TGTGCATGTGCCATGTCAAGAATACGTCTATGTCATATGTAAAGTTCAAATTTCCATAGACAAAAAAGGGCTGATTCCATCGTGTATTTCATACCGTCTCTGAAAAACATGAGAGATATGCCAAGGATAATGCAGCAACAAAAGGCGAAGAAAATGCTCCAAGAGGGTGTAATGCAACAAGAAACCACGCGGCGACCCAGACGGGCTTGTGAAGCCAAAACTAGATTGAATCCGCATTTTCCCAAAACTGGCAGAACACTTGACTTCGCGAATCACTACATTTCTCGTGGACAAGTGCTCTGGAAGCTTGTTCCAAGAAGGTTCAAGATGGTGTAACCCATGTTGAAAATGCACTAGTATTGCAATCGGCTCAAATAGACCCGAGCATAACAGGAGGGGGTATCACAAATATTTCAGTAATGCTTCATGGAAATGAGTTCAGCTTTGAGGTTGTAAATATATTCGAAAAGTTAGGAAAAATAAAAAAAATTCAGATTTTTTTGATGAAATACATCGAAGTTACAACAGGTTTAACGAGTGTTTCGGGTCAAATAGACCCGAACAGAATAGGAAGGTTAAATCATCCGAAAGTCTAGAATCGTCAACTGCGTTCAGTAATCAAACAATTTTGGCGAAGGTCTTCAGAGAACTTGAGATAACGCTCGGCTTTTCCTCACAAGGAAAAGCCGAGGACGTCCTGCCTAATCGAGAGGGCATGTTCTCTCTTCTCACCCCTCACCACTCACTCACCACTCACCCAACTCTCCTGATTTGGCTAACTACGACTTCTGGCTCTTTCCTTAGCTTAAGTCCAGAATTGCTGAAGACTATAGGGATAAATTAACTAGCAAAGGCTAAATGAGCAGAGCTGTTTAGTATTCCTGCTTTGGGCAACCATGACGCCTTTCGAAGCGTAGTGCTCCTTTTTCCTCTTTCACTGAGAGGGAAAAAAATACCTACCGAACAGCACCAAGATGAATCATTTATGGCTTTTAGAAATTCCATAATGAGTGCAAAAGTTTTCTCGACTCACTTTTCTGTCAAATCTATGATTTCTGTAATTCGTACATTTTTTTAAATTAGATTATATTAATAATAATAGTCACGTAACTGAAATAAGTCACAGGTTCGAACGAAACCTGACTTATTTCAGGACGAACAGGACAGGTACGGCGGCAAGTAAATTTCCCAGTGATATAAAATTCATCCAGATATATATAACTTGAAATAACTTTATCTTTTTATAGAAATTTTTTTTAGCGCCTCCCTGCCAGAATGGATTCTGGATGCAGAATCCCTAGTTTGAGCTAAAATATTTAGACTCTCGGGTAAAGGGTTTGAGAGGGAAGCGGTAGAAATTAAAGCCGAAGTCTTACGGTTTCCATATGAGCTTTTTGGTCATTCCAAGCTGTTCAACCCAGAAAAATATTGTACCCCAAGCCCATCTCTATGCATTCATGCAGCGCAGCAGCGAGATCACTTTTAAATGCGAATATTCCATCATTTACAGGGTTGTGCAAAAGTTCCCATACACTTTGAGAACCTAATTTTTTCACTAATCAACGGATTTTTGGCGATTCTGGTGTGTTTTTTTTACTCTACGGACATTTTTGATACGAAATGTTTTCATTAAAGTAAATTTCAGTCTTTATTTGAATTTTTTCTCTTGAGCTATGACGCCAAAAGAGAATCGAAGCGCTAATCAAAGTGTACGGGAACTTTTGCACAACCCTGTATGTATTGTAGTCATTGGGAGGAGAAGGGTTTCATGCGCATAGACTACTTTTCCTTTCCAAATTAGAGCAGCCAGTTCACGAAGGAGAAGTGGTCCCGGAACCCGGAAAAACGACTTTTTTTCAGATAGACCACTTTGCCTTTCAGTCCTTCATATAACAAGCAATTATCTTGGAAACGATCTTTTTCGTCATTTAAGTTGAGATACGACCAAGCACAGCACCAACAGGGGTCGGAGGCCATCGTGCAGTCGAGCCTCTCTTAGGCTGCTGTGGAGCACTATCTTCCCTCGTATAGGAAGATAGTATTCCCATCTCTTCGTGCGAATAAAAATTCCTTCACAGGAGCAGAACTCTACCTGGTATTTCTACCAGGACAGCAGTTCTTTTCCTGCATCCGGAGTCAGTCTACGTACAGTCATATAATCAGATGGGGAAAATCATCACCATCTAACCCCAACGGAGATGATCAGCTGCTGATTCTGCTGCTCTCTCTCCCTCATGGAGTTACTTTGGAAATTGAAGGATCCTCTCTTCATTCTCCGCGCCAGAGTTTTCAGGAGGCTCTTTAGACTGAGTTACCTCTTGAGACCGATTTATTATCTGGCATTCCCATAGGTACTATGGGGAAATGCCAGATATTGCGGTTGGTTTGTCTCTTTCTTTCTTATTTTTTTCATTTTTTTCATTCCGTCTGTTCACAGTAGCCATAGCAACCGGACAATGCGACCCAATGCAGCTTTTCGCCTGGGTCGGGGTGCCCGTCTTCCACGAAAACATCCATTTCCCTTCCAGCCCTGATTTCCCTTCCAGCCCTGGCGGTTGACGGATCCAGAGTAGACGATGGAGGAGAGATGCTGCTCCCGGCCGCGTAGACAGGGTTGCCAGGCGCACGCGTGAAATGCCGTATCTGGCATCCTACACTTCATACTGTCCTATCTCCACATGACGCGGACGCGCGGACTATCGAGAACATTTCAATTTGTCCAGGCCCTTTCATATAGGCCTACGCCGAACCAATGACAGCTATTATTTATTTCAAGGTTGGATGGTTAGGATGCGGTGAATATAATGAATCCAGTAGTACAAGAACCAGTGGAATGCCAGATCTGTACCTTGACTGGTATTCTCTTGTTGAAGAATTCGAATGTCTTTCCCTGTGGTGCCCATGGAGAAAGATCGGGCACATTGCAGGAAATTATCGGGGACAGGGGACTGATTCCAGCTGCATCTGGTTTCGACTCACTATAGCGGCTACTTTGGCGCCACCTGGCTCCTGTTGTGAGAACTTTTGTTTGTTCGAGGAACTGCCAGATGAATAGCACAGACGTTCTTAAGCAAAACGTCTCTTTAACGCTCAACTAATGTCCTTCAAAAACGTCATGTATTGGTGATCAAATGGCAAGTTAGCTGAGCCTCCAGATGCTGCTCATCCGTGAACGATGCCATAGGCGGCGATTCATAGGGGCTCAGGTGGCTCGAGCCCCCCAAACATTTGGCAGAAGCGAGGACATGAGAATCAGGAATACTTGCAAGAGTACCGTCTCTGACCCATATTCCTTATTTCTCAACAAATCGCCGTCTGGAGGTTGAATGTCCTGGAGATCGTTCTCGTAACACTTGGGAAGGCAGAGAGAGAAATCGTTTCCTTCTTTACGGATGAATGCTGCAGTTGCCACATGAGGATCTTTCTCCAGATTTGTTCATAACTCCTTGCGAGAGGATCTGAACCCTAAAATGAGCTCCATTCTGAGGGCGGAACCCATGTGCCTTCCAGGTGACCCGATGCAAGCTCCTCAATCTTCGACTCTCTTGCCTCCGCGAATGCTCGAGTGCTGGAACTCGAATTCATCCCTGCCTTCGCCTTTTCCATTTTTCGCGTTCGGTCGTGAGAGAAATTCTCTAATAAAGACGTCATCGTGTCTTAGTAGCACCTCGGTCGTTCGATTCTCCTCCTTTAAACCCGAAGATGCTAAAGACCGGGAGTATCAGTTGTATGGAATCGTATGGCAATGCTCGCTCGTATCGAGTACGTGGTAGTCTACGAGAATGAGATCAATTCCTCATATGTCTCTAATGCGTGGTGAACTCGTTGAAGAAGGCGTGACGATGGAGAATTCATCGCGAAACTAATTTAAACCTCGTGATTTTGATATATCGAAGAAGAGAGAATGATTGCCAGAGCAGAAGCCCATGGCGTGACCTGCCCTTACGAAATTGCGCACCTCGGCAAAGTCGTCATCGTCGTATCCTTCGCATGCTGTCAGTCTCTTGGGTGAAATATCCTTTATCGTAACCGAGGATGGAGACGCTAACCGAGCAAACTGCCACGGGCTCCTAGATTCAGCCGCAGGTCACCAAAATGGGTTGCAGACAACAACCTGGATCGTGACCCTTGAGAGAATATTCAAATTAGTGGAATACAGAAGCTCACACGACCTTCGCTCTTCCTCTAGCCTAAAGGCCATTGCACACTTAGCGAGTGACGCGTGCGATTTCGACACGCATGCGGAATGCGTCTGCATGCGTCCACATGCATTCTAATGCAAGGGAACAAGCGTGTACATGGCATGCCCACACACCTTTACAAGTATAAAGGAATCGCAATCACTGCGTTTTGAATAGGGGTTTCCTTTATTAATTAGAATCTATATTTTAATGTCATGTATCCAGGGCCGGATTAAGAAGTTGCGAGACCCAGGGCAAGTGAATTCCTGGGGCTCCCCCCTGCTACTTTACGCAAATACAATACTTTTATAACTTAACGTTTTTAATTTCCTTCGGGGGCCCCCTGGAAGAGTGAGGCCAGGGGCAACTGCCCCCTTTGCCCCCCCCCTTTAATTCGGCCCTGGATATATCGGATTGCCCCTCCTTAACTGGCATCAAATTTAGGATTTTTCTTTTTGACAATTTTGTCCCTAAATCTGTGGAATGACCCAAATGCGCGAGAGCGTGCTTTGTACACGCATCTTCCCTTGCATTCGAACTCATGCGGACGCATGCAGACGCGCAAGCCGCATGCGTGTCGAAATCGCACGCGTCACACGCTAAGTGTGAAACGGCCTTTAGCCCTCTGTCAGTCAGAAGTAGAACCGGTTCCTTCTTATCTTCCTGCACATTCCATCTTCTACGTCGAAGGAGATCGGACGAAACCTTTATATCTTCGCCATGAAGACCTTTCTGCTTCCTGGTCTCTTCCTCTGGGTCCTGTTCTACGCCCTCTCTGCGTTTCCATCGCCTCGGAGATTCGGGGAAAGTGAGTCCCCCTCATCCACGTTTTCTCTCATCTCATCCGTTCGTTGTCCCGAGTCCCATCCGGGAAACCCAGCGTCCGAATCCAGATACTCGAAGAGAATAAAAAAAGTTCGTTCTTTTACATTACAGATAAATGCAGCAACATCTGCCCGACGATCTTCGACGAAGTGTGCGCGTCCAATGGGAGGACGTATCCGAACGAATGCGAAATGCGGACTGTGGCCTGCGAAACCGGCCAGAGGCTGATCATCCGGAATCGCGGACCTTGCATCGGGGGCAACGGTCAGTCCCCTTTCCTGTCTCGTTTCGCTGCAACCTACAGTCCCGCTTTGCTTTCCCTTGCTTTCGTATCGAGTGCCAAAGCAAGCGGTACGTAACGATCGCCGGCAAATTTTAACGTGGGATTCTACGAAAAGATGGAAAGTTACCCCAATCGATGATCCCCGAAAGACGTCCGATCCCATATCGTCGTAGATGTCTGATTTGAAGATTTATGGATCGTGGGACTTCATCCCGTACCTACTTTCTTTTTACACTCGCTGTATGAGCCCAGTTACTCGTTTTTTTTTGCGCGTCGGAGAGCGGAGGTGATTCGATCGGGATCCGTTCGATGAGACGGCGCACGTACCGCCCTTGCGACTTCAGTCAAATGGTTTCGGCTGCCCATTTGCTGCCTCCTTATCCATACAATCGTACTTGCGGAGGGATGTCGAACCGAACTACATTCCACGGGTTTAAACTGTACCACAAAACGAAACGGTCCCGATCGCACTTAGTCCATTCTTGCAAAACGAGAAAAGTGCCGCGTTACGTTCCGTTAACTCAGCGTACGCAGTAAATCTAACGGTGTTCCGACTCGTCGCGGGGTCCCCGTAGAATATATGCAAGGTATGCGTAGGTGAGCGAGCGGGAAAAGGGCGCATTGAAAATCGCTCGTTTCTTTACTGATCGATGCTGCAGTCGCAAGGTAAGTAGGACCTTTCCCTGCTCTCTTTCGCAGCTTCGTGCGATGGGATCTGTACCTTGGAAGACGCTCCAGTCTGCGGGTCGGACGACGAAACGTACCCGAACCCGTGTGCCTTCCAAGTGGCTCGATGTAAGAACCCCGATCTTCGACTCCTTCATCACGGTGAATGTTGAAACGCATTCGCTCGAGTCCGTTTCTCTTCTTTTCCGTCTTTCGCAGTAGAGGACTCTGACAATAAAGATATCATCGTGTCTCTGAAGCACCTCGGTCGCTCGATTCGCGTCGATCGAAGATCGGAAGACGAAGCGGATGGGATCACAAGACAGTGCTCGCTTTCGCATCTGCGCGTCTGCGAGAACGAATTTCGCTGGTGTCTCCAGTCCGGAGGGAACGGAGGCGAAGCTCTTGCGACGTCGGAGGATGCAGCTCGGAGCGTAATCCATTTCGGCACCCCGGTCGGCAGAGCTCGTTCGTTGCGTGCCGATACGGCGCGATACGAAACAACTGATTTCCGTCACTCATACGGCCGACCCCACGTGCCGTGGATGACGGGTAGGGAATATCGGGCCGTCCGGCTGACAGCGGCGCATGCTCATCGAAACCTCTTCCTGCATCCCATGATGCCCCTCGCGGAGTGTTCACGCGACTTGCAGGTTGGCTACAAACTTACTGATTTCGCCTTCCTCAAAACTTAAGTCGATGAGCTCGAGAAAAAGACGTTCGCACGAATCTACAAGAGGGACTTTAGGATCGTGGAAGCAAGGAAGAAGCGACGCCACAGGCATATCGATGAAAAGTTCAAATGTTATTTTATTTATGTAACTAAACCTGGAATAAAATATTGTTATTTTATCATCTAGCTAAGTTTTGCTGCGCGAATGGAGAGCAAGTGCTCTGTAGTACTTCCACCGGCAAACGAGAAGTCGCGAGTCGCTCGGGCCTATCATGACGTGAGTTCATTTAATTTCGTCTCGGCCAGGACCACATTGAACGTCCCCTGCCTCCGTTTTCTCGGGAAGTTTCGCGGTGAATGCCCCTGTTGCTGGCCTCTTCGAGCTTCTTAAGATCGAACGATGCCGGAGTTGGTTTCGATGCATCCCAATCGTGATCACGAAGTGAACGAGGTTCGTCGGAAGGCTAGACTGGCCATAGCCTCTCTCGTCTCGTGACCGTAGGTACAACTCGAGTTTAGCTAGCAACATGCAACTATTCCCAAGGTAGGCTTGTAGCTTCAGTCTAGTCTTAGAAGTTCATCGAAACAGAAACAGGTTGCCTCGGTGCAGATATATTTAGATGTTGCAGTTCCTGGGAGTTGGTGCAAATTGAAAACCTTGCTATTTAATGAGCTTTTGTTTGTGAATCCGAGTCTTATATCAAGACTGAATTACGAAACGCAAATTTTTCCTGGGGATGATCATCCATTTGAGATTCCCTTTTTTGCGTTTAAATACCTTTTGACATTCAAAGCGTACTGGGCTCTCGTGCACCTGCGTATGCGTCAGACTTCACTGGTACTTCACAAGTAACCTATTCCATCGACTATAAAGTGATGGAGCAAAAAGTGTTGGATCTCGGATACACACACCTCTTCGAGGCTGCATCGCCACGAGCTTCATGTCGATCCGTTATCGGTTGCATTCCAAAATAACTTTGACAGGATCTTTATCGACATCTCCCAAAGCAGCGGAAGCCTGATCCTCGGCACATGGAAAGAGTGCAAGAGCCGAGAGCGACGAAGGCAAACGAGAAAGATAATTCGGATGAGCCTGAGTCAGGAGACGGGAAAGGTGATCCCATCACTTCTCAATGTTGCCAACGAGTCATCTGACAGCATCCAGGCGTCTCTCATTTCATTAGAGCACAAATAAGGCAAGTTCTTTTCCACATGGTTCTACGATACGTCCGGTTTCGTCGACCGGTCATCGAAATTTCTCTCTCAACTGTCGTCTGTTTCAAGTCACGACCGTCTTTCATATTCACTCGTACAGTATTATCTCTTGTGCAAGAAATAATATTCAATATGATCATCGACACGACATTTGGTGCATTCTCCCTCTTTTACATCCTCGCAGCATTTCACTAATTTTAGATAGAGCTATAGCTGCAAAATAATTTTGCAGTATATATAAAGGCTTTTCAAAGCTTATTGTCTCCACTCGAGTCAAGGAAAATGAATTCAGAGAATGAGGAAATTTGAGTGCGGAAAACTGGATTATGGGTCATTCCACGCCTAATCGACCAGCGAGGAAGCTCGACCATCTCGGATCTTGACAAAAATCGGCATACACGTAGAGGAATCGATTTAAAGAGACAAATTTCAACCAATTTTTTTTTATCTCTCCCACAGATCTTCTGATACATGCATTTTAATTAGACATAATTTTCACTCCCAGCATCCATACGGACTGGAATTGTGAAACTGTTTCTGCAATAACTTCCCCTCTAGTCAAGATAAAAGCTTCTGGTATCATTTTAATTGCGATATTTTCGTCTTTAAAATGACTCCAGACATTATTCCCCTAAGCTGAAACAATAAGCTTCACTCGATCAAACAGTTTGAACAAGTTCGGTGGGTAATATTGACACTTGCCACCTCGTGAATTCGTTGTTTCAATATTTCATTAAAAAAGGGCATGGTATGCCATTTCTGACGAAATAAAATTCGAGATTGGCACTTAATGACTTGACGAGATGTGAATATTTTTGCGCGCCAGTAGGGCCAAATTTCCACTTGTTCGAACACTTTGACCGACTTCAGTGACCAACACCTGCACTTTCCACTCCATGAATCCGGACTTCTAATGTATCATTAAAAAGTGCCTGCTACGTCCTTACGTCCTACGTGAACGTAACTGCATTGCACCCCAGTGCAATGCAGCTACGTTCACGTCGTGTGCCCTGTGAGTACCCTGCCCCGGCGGGGGAAACTGAAGCTGCAACCAGCGGACCGAATCATCATCATCATCCCGATCCCGGTCAAGGACAAGAAGAAGCACAGCCCATTGGCTCCACGTTCAACATCCTTCACCTAAACGTTGAAGGCTTATCCTCTGCAAAGCGAACCATTCTCTGCAACCTTGCATCGAGACACAAAGTAGATGTGATATGCCTGCAAGAGACCCATGTAGACTCCCTGGCGCGGCCAGGTATCGACCGCCGGTGTTGTTCTATCGGCGCCATTGGCCACCAGCAGGTTTGTAAGCTGTCGATGCCTAAAGAGAGGTAAAACTTGTAGGCAAAACGTGCAAAAAAAATTTAAGTGAACATGTGAGCCCAAAAAATATCGCCCGAATAATATTTCAGCCCTATTTTAGGAACTGGCGGAGGAAAATAGCGATAAAGAAGGGAAATCATTGCACTTACTTGTATGTTATGCTTTCGCAGATGTGTCGTTAAACGTCCTTATCAGCAGCAATAAGTAGCCAGGTAACCACTGACTACCACCACTGACACTGGCAGCACACCTACGTAGGGCCTATGCTGGAATTCAACATTTGCGATGTGGGCCCAACGTTGGCCCTTCGTAGGCTTGTCCCACGGCCCCACGTTGGGCCTACGTCAAATGCCGACGTGCACCATGACATTCCGGAGATTAAAGGAGGTTTCGTTTGAGATTGAATTTTCATACGTTATTGTTCAGCTCCCCTTCCGGGAACCTTGCCACTGAGCCTCTCTCGGTCTGGCTGGACGTACTCCAGGGAGTAGTACTTCCTTTGATCGTCATCTTTTGATGTCTTCACTTTCCATAACAGGATTTGAGCCCCATTAAGCCCTTCATCCACTATGGAAGTGCTTGTCCTGTAAGACTCGGATGATCATACCTTACTGCACACCCCTCGAACCTCCCCGAGGGGAACCAAGACGTAGCTACTTCCAATCTATGGCCAACACGGGCAGCCCACTGTGATGTGGGCCCACTTTTTCCCACTCGCAGCAAACGTGGGCCCAATGTATTGTGCTGCCGGGATAAGTACTAAATATAGTCAATTTCGCTATCAGGGGACCCCTTGACAATTATCACATGGCTTCCAAGAAGGCCTATTTGAATTATTATGCAATTTCATGTTACTTCTCGAATTTCAGATGACAATCGGCCAATTGGCCCCACATTGGCGCAAGGCGGCAGCCAACATTTGTCATGACTCAGGATGTGACATCTATCTCAGATATTTGAACAAAAGCTACCCACAGCATATGCGAGATGACGACTATGCAGCTGCTATTTCAGTGGGACCAGGGAATGATTCCATTATTTAAGACCCAGAACAACTTAAGTTGCGCAAACTGCAGGTGCAGCTCAGGTCGAGACGGGAATTCTTTACTTGCAGAGTGGTGAACGTGTGGAATGCGTTAGATGACGAAGTAGTGGCTGCCCCTTCTGTGACTATCTTTAAACTACCCTAAAATTAAGGAACGCTCGACCTCGACACGTGATATCGAAATGGCGAAATCGCCTCTTGATATCACTATTGAATCTTCAATCTTGAATCTTGAATGCTCTGATGTCACCGAATACGTCATCACGTAACCAGCCAATCGGGGCAGCGTCTTTTGCCAATGTTACGCCACTAATGGGAAACCAGCGTAGATTCATGAATGGGCCCATGCCCTCCACCAATGAAGTGCCGAAAAATGGCTATCCAAGCTAGAGCCATGAGTAGGCCAAGCATGCCTACCAATGCCGGCGATCTGCCGACATTGCCATGAAGGGGCCATTATTGGGTCAAGCTTATTGGTAATGTGGATCCTTATTGATCCCGTCAACGATTCTCTAAGTTATCATTTCACCAGTCAAAACTTCGTTCTGGATATAAGGGTTGGTGTATGTGGCATTCCTGGCAGAACTTTCAAGGTGCTTCTGAAGAATGGTATCATCTGCTTGAGAATGCTTACGCAATATTGCCCTCATTGTGAAGAGGCGCATCCATTGTAATATGCCGTGCATCAGTTCTTCCTCTCAGTGCGATCGCCTATCATACGCAAAAGATGACCGTTACAATAACTGGCCCTAGCTTCTCCCTGTTTTCCTCTTCTTCCCTGTTTCTCCCTTCCGAGATTTCTCCTTACCTTTAGGTTTCCAGCTGTGAAACGATGTCCTCTTGAGTATGCTTCTCCACAGAGAGAAAAGTATCTGCGCAAATGACTGCATCCTTATGATACATGGTGGACTCATGTCCGCGGAGAACTTCAATAGCAACATTCTATCTGGAGAATGCCTTTGTTACAAGGAACCCCAATTTTTTAGATGTTCCCTTGCCTGCGCATTCACCAGCAAACAAGACAGGGCCGGCAGAACACCCCATTATGCTATGCAGATTATGCAATGTACGAAAAACGCCTCAACCACTCCAACTGAAACTTGAGATTCTTCCACATGCCTTCTCGGGGAAAACGAAATTATGATCAGGATTCCATCTGAAAGGTATCGAAATACGTATTATAAATACTACCCACCTCTGCCTCTAGTGGAATGACTGATGAAAGAAAAGGGTTGTTCCAGAGGAAATGCGTCTTTTTTCTTTGGCGAAACGTGTATTTTGTTGGTGAGTAGGGGCCTTGAAAACTTGAACATAGGATGGGGAGGGTGTGTGCAGAAATTTGTGACAAGGATGCGGTTTCAAGGCATGCTTAATGATCAAAACAAAGCCAGTTTGATTTTTTTTTAGAAGTACAGTGTATTGTCATTGAGTAGAGA